AGAAAGAAAGAAAGAAAGAAAGAAAGAAAGAAAGAAAGAAAGAAAAGAGCGTGAGAGAGAATGACAGTAAAACAAAGACACAGAGAGACAAAGAAAGAGTGAGAAATTGAGAAGGAGAAAGAAAAGAAGGAAAAGAGAAAAAGAAAGAGAGAGAGAAAGGGAGAGAGAGAGAAATCCTGATTTGTTTGCTGTCACCCTGCCCAACCACCTCGGTCTAAAACGCTTCACCCGCAAAACCATTTCCTGCCATGCCCACTTTGAGAGCCACGACCTGCTCCAGTGAGATGATTTATGACGCCCAAACTGGCAGTCATAGAAAGTTTGGAGAAAGTTTGATGGCACCCCCGGCTTTTAATTTCATTACCTTAATTGTTTAAATGCCTTTGTGGCAGGCAGGACAAGAGACCCGTGTGTGTGTGTGTGTGTGTGTGTGTGTGTGTGTGTGTGTGATAAACTCTGCCCCGTTATGCAGATTTATGTAGGTCATTTATTTAGATCCGTTAGCTGGCTTTGGCTGGCCCTCGGCCGTTTCCCTCTCCGCAGTGCCGCTGCTTTAGCGGGTTGCCACGGCCAAGAGCCATGGCCACGCCGATAGATTCCCCCCCACACTGCCAGCCCCCAGCTGGTTTTTGCAACCTTTTTTGTCTGACAGCCTTTTTAAAAAAATTTTTTAAGAAGACAGAAAATAAAAAGCCACCGCACAGCCGGCTACCTGTCGTCTCCCCTCCCCTCTCTCACTCCCCTCCCCTCCATCCACATTTCTGGGTGAGTCATCATGCCAGCCCTTAAGGGAAAGTTGCGTGTGCGGCTCGCATCACACACCTGCCCGTCCCTTGGCCGGCGCCTGGTTCTAGCTCCGTCTCAGGCCACGAAGAAGAGAATAACGGCGGCGTGGGAAAGGGACCTTGGAGGCCTTCTATCCGGTCCCATCCCCTTCTCAGGCAGGAAACCCTGCAACCGTTTCCCACAAAAGCGCTGCCCAATCCCTTGTTTCACTAAACCGACGAAACAACTTGTCTCTAAAAGTTCTGGATGCTCCAACACAGGAGGGTTTCCAGCACCCACAATTTCTAGAGGCAAGTTGTTCCGCTGGTCCCAAATTTGAGGGGCTTCTCCTGGACGTCCGGGTCCCTTTCCATCATCTCAGGTTGAGGAGCCACCAGAGCCCCGGGAGGTCTTACCGATGGCGCAGAGGGCATGTTTGAGTTCCAGGGTGAAGGTCGAGAGAGGCACGTCTTCCGAGACAGGCATGATGGCCACCGTGGCGAGATTGCTGGCTGGGTTGCCGGCGTCCCACTTGCTGCTGGCGGTGTGTAGGCCCAACTGGTGCCCTGGCGGAAAAGGAAAGCCGTCGGAGAAGACCGTAGGCTGCTGCTTGCCCCGCGTCCTAATCTGAGGGCAAGGGAAGAAGCGGGCAGAACCTCATCGCAAAACTAGCGCTAGCGTGAAACTCGAGAAGATGGGCCCAAGAAGTGGGAAATGAGGAGATTCGGGCAGTTTAGACGAGCGTCCAAGATTGACTGCAAGCTTGAGGTCTCTACAAGAATCTGACCAACTAACGGACAAGGGAAGCGAGCGGGAGATAAGGAAGGCCTTCAAGGAGGGCTGGACTTCGATCACTTGTGGGCACGCAGGGATTCATGACTGATGACGCATTTCACCCCTCCCTCCGGCTCACCTCCTACAGGGTTAACAATAGGACCTGTTGTTAACACGGCATATATATATTTTTTTTAGCATTTTAATGATACGTGGGTTGACGAGGCAGGACAAGGAGGAAAGAGATTTCCCTCAAAAAGCTTTCTCGATATTCCTGAATTTACAATCTGAAATGGCAGTTTAGCCAAAAAAAAAAAACGAGGGAGTCCGTGCGCAAACCCTTCCCCCCCCCCGCCCCCGCCATTCCCACACCCGCTACACCCCAAGGAGCAAGCGAAAGAGCCGAAGCATTCGGTGTCCTACCCCCTTGCTGTAGATTCCCAAGGATCTTCTCACCCAGTAAATGGATAAGTCGCGTCACGACCTGTAAGGATGCGGGTGGAGGAAAAATAAATAAAAACAGAGAAGCAAATCACGACCACGGATCGCAGCCTTGAGAGCACCGGAAGAAACTTCCCGTTGGAGGGCTGCCAAAATGGAGAGGACCTCTTATGGAAAAAATATCCCATCACTTTTAAAGGTAGAGGTAAAGGTTCCCCGTGTTTTTTGGGGGGAAATTGGACATTTTACTGTATTCTTAAACTAAGAAACAAAAGTTAGCTTTTTTTAGAAGCCTGGGAAAAAAAGTCAGAAGTCATTCTTGGTACATATTTGCGCTTTCAACGGAGGAGAATATTTGTGGCTTAGGGAAGAAATGAAGGGACCAGGCTTGGCTGCTTTCTTGCAGAGACGTTTCACCACCCAGCTGGTAACACCATCAGTGCTAGGAAGGGGTGGGGGGGGTTGCTCTGTCTCCCCTCTAGCACTAACGATGCTACCTAGTTTGGGTCACGCAACCAAACTCAAGAGACCGCCAAGGACCTCCCGTGTTCGTTTTTTTTTGCTTTCTTTATATTGTTTTCACACTTCTACCCCTGTTCTCTTTCTTCCTCTTCATCGCTCCTTCGGGGTTGTGAGCTGATGCGGGTTTCTTTGGAAAATGCAATAAATATTATCGCAAAGAAGGAATGCCCGGTGTCTTGAAGTCAGATGTTCGTCAGGACTCTGGCGTGAACTTCTGAAAGTCCAGGAAGATCAGGGAAGGAGGAGTGGGGTGGGAGAGAGAGAGAGAGAGAAAGACGGGGGGGGGGGGGGGGGGGGGGGGGTGCTTTGCAGCCTGTCTTCACGTGACCGTGATGGGCTTGAAAACAAACGTGGAGCCCCGGCACAGCAAGCTGCCTTCTGCCACTGGGTGAGTCACTCTGCAGCTGCTATGGCAACCTAGCAGGAACATCAATTTTGGGTTGGAACAATGCGTCTGGCACGCATTCTCCTTTGGAGTTTAAACGCTGCTCCGCTTAAGGAAAAGAGGCATAGTGTCTCACCCTCTCTTCTTCCATGGAAAGAGAGCGGTGGAGGGGGGACGGACGAAAACTTCCATTTCTCGACGCCTAAGATGTCAGTAAACTCGTGTTTTCTTTTTAAAGGAAAGGAGGAAGGGGGAAAAGTTAAAAAAAAAAAAAAAAGCTGCAACCAGACAACCACGCTTTCTCTCCAGCAATTTGGCACTTCTTTCAAATCTTGGCAGCCCACCGGGGAAAGGGAAAGGAGTCCCGGCCGCTCGGTGGCATCAGGAGCGATCCGTCTTCGCCGTGCAGAGGACAAATGTGCTTTGTAGTCTAACGGGAGGAAAGGAATTGTGCCCGACATCTGCTTGTGCTGTGGCGGAGTGGTGCCATGTGCCTAGAGGTGGAGCTCTCGCCTCCTAATCGGGAGGCTGTGAGTTCGATCCTAGGTGGAGGCAGATCTTTCTCTCTCTCTCTGGGCACGAGGAGAATTTCTCTGCTGGATAGAACTCTGCACCGGTGACAAGGAAGGGCATCCGGCCAGTAAACACTCAGCTCCATTCAGTGGCCCAGATTCCACCCCGCAAGGGATTATGGAGTCGTTAAATAACAGATAAATAAATAACAGATAATCAGAGTTGGAAGGGACCTATAGTAGTAGTAAGTACAGGTAGTATAATCTCCGCTGGGCTCTTTTGACTGGTGCTGCAATGTGAGCAACCCCAGGTCAGGTCCTCTTTTAAGGGAACACCCAGAAACTTAAAACTGGCCACTTGCTCCACTCGGTCTCCGTAGATAACGAAGGGCTGGGTTTTTTTGTGGGGTTTTTTGGTAATTCTTCATCTGAGTTGAGAGGACAGGCAGGTTTTCCTTCCTACCTGGGGGAACTTGCGTTTGATGGAGATCAGCGCTCCCTCTGGAAGTTTGGCCAGCTCCGAATCCCGAACGGCGTGTACGGTAGTCGCCCTGGGTTGGTGAGTTAGTGCTTCAACCTGGCAGGAAGAGACAAAAAAAAAATATTTGTTATTCAAATTGTGTCAGAAACCACTGGCTCGTTGCCGAGAAGGCCCTGGTTATCGTTCACAAACCACGCTAGAATCTGGATATTCTTCTTCTTCTTCTTCTTTCACAATAGATTTTTAAAGAAGAGACTTGTCTCAAATGGGACAGGGTCTCTTTCTTGAGCAAAGGGTTGGTCTGGAAGACCTCTGAGGCCCCGTTCCAGTTCTATTCGGATCTGATCAAACTTCTTCAGCCTGCAGGGGAGCCTGACAGTTTCCGGCAAGGGCAGAACAAAAAGAGAAGGGAACATTTGTAGCTCCGGGTTGAATTGTGAGGTCCCTGAGCTCTTTAGCAAGCACAGAAGGAGCCCCGCTCCCCAAATGCGGGAAAGCACAATGGCAGCTGAGCCGCGATTTGTCACCTTCTGCCCGGTGGGGGAGGCTGACATTTCTTGGGCTTTGAACTCTGGCTTCCTGCTGCTTTTGCAGCCGCAATAAACCCCAGCTGAGCGGGAGAAGAAAGATCCAAGTCAGACGAGGCTTAGCAACCAATGGACTCATAGACAGGCTCACAGGGCTGGAAGGGACCCTGGAGGTCTTCTAGTCCAACCCCCTGCTCAGCCTGGAAGCCCTACACCACTTGAGACAAATGGCTGTCCAATCTTTTCTTAAAAACCTCCAGTGTTGGAGCATTCGCATCTTCTGGTGGCAAGTTGTTCCACTGACGAATTGTTCCCAGGGTCAGGAATTTTCTCCTTCGTCCTAAGTGGCTTCTCTCCTTGATTAGTTTCCATCTGTTGCTTCTTGTCCTTCCCTCGAGTTCTTTGGAGAATAGGCTGACCCCCTCTTCTTTGGGACAGCCCCTCCAATATTAGAAGACTATCACGTCACCCCCAATTTTTCTTTTCATTAAACGAGACCTACTCCGTTCCTGCAACCGCTCTTTGTATATTTTAGCTTTTGGTTCCCTCACCAGGTTTGATTACTCTTCTCTAGAGTCTCAACAACTTTTTTAATATCGTGATGACCAAAACTGGAGGTTATTCTTGTTTGGCAAGTGAAGGAGAACGGCACCTGTTATTTTAGCTGATTGCTTTTCGCACTGAAGGCACAATGGGGCCCCACAACGGTAGCCAAACAGGTATCGCTATCCAAACTCTCTGGAAACGGGAGGGGACGCACGCTTTAGAAAGGAGAACAGCCAAGGAGGACGAAACCCTAGAGATCCTGCAAAAACAGAACGTCTCCTTCGAAAAAAACCCACTTAGGGCCACTCCCGCCTGCCAAGGATCTTGGTCCCGCTGAAGGAAAGCCAACGTTTAGTGCTGCACCGCTGAGGCCGCCAAGACACTTCGCGTTTGAGCAAAGAATCGGAGTGCTCTCTCTCTCTCTCTCTCTCTTGATGAGTAGACAAAAAGTCTGTTCACCATGCCAGAAAGAGGAGACGGACGGCACTGAAATGTGTCTCCGAAAGAGCCTGTCGTCTCTGGGATGCTGCAAAGGGGAAGGAGAACCTCAGTGTGCATCTAGAGAGGATGAACTTCTCCGTAGGGCTCAAAGTCTGGCTTTGCCTACTTCTGTCTTTTTTTTGTTTTTTTCCCCATAAGGAATAAAGTAGTGAGTCGTAAGGCAGCGGACACTAGTTCTAGCTTGACATAAAATCTCGGGAGTACCAAATTCAAAGCAGCCACGGGCCAAGGTACCACGACAGACTGGGATGGTATAAGGTCTACTGCCTTGAACAGGGGTTGGACTAGAAGACCTCCACACCTTGCCAGCCCGAGGCTTCGCCGTCCTATGAAATCTCCCTCCGTTTTGGAAGAAACTGTTCGGGATTCAAAGCCCGGTTCCACAGCAGAAGAAAATATCCGAAAAGAGCCCCGAGAGAGAGAGAGGGGGGGGGGAGGGAGATTTCTCCAGGAAGATCGATCCCATCAAAGCCTTCCTCCGTTAAAGAGGAAGCTAATTGGCCCTCCTCTGTTCAAGGCAAGGGATCTTCTTCGGATTTCAACGCAGCGTTTAATCAACCGCTCCGTGGGAAATTGCTCCTCGCCTCTCAGACAAAATTACGGATTAATCGAGCCATTATTATTTTTTTTCCCTCCCATGTCAAGATAACAATCCTTGTTCGCTCCCAAGAAGGAGGGCGCTTAAACCCCTTACACACCCTTGCAGGCATTGGTGCTTTTTGCAAAAGGCTGGGAAATCCATGGAAGGAAAGGCAGGTTGATTAAGCAAGGCAGGAGCACATTTTAATTAGTCGAGATCGATTGTTATTGACGGCCGGATTTTTTGCGGCGGAAGGTTTGGGCACTTATTCAAGATTAGATTCTCTGGAGTCTTTATGGTGCAACAGGCTGCTTATGGACATCAATGACCATCAATCTGTCCAAAGGCCTTTAGAATAGCGGAGGCTCTGTGCGTTTCAATAAAAACCATAAAAATAAGCTTCGTTGAGGGGCCGGGGCTCAAAGTCAGTACCTAGGGCTTTACTTTAACCTTGATTTTTTTTTTTTTTTTTAGCTGATGCCGTTTTGAAAGCCAAGGGTTATAAAAAGCCGCCGTGGAGCCCAATGTCACTGGCTGCTTCACGATGTCGGCTTATCGGTCCTTTAATCAATCATAATTTGCAACCATAAGAGAGCCACTTTGGTCTAGTGGTTAGGCACCAAGCAGGAGACCATGAGTTCAAGTCCTGAGTTAGCCATGAAGCCCAGCTGGGTGATTTGGGGCCAATCACAAGGAGACTGGGAGTTAGTGGTAAAAACTGGCTGGGTGACTTTCTGCTGATCCCCAGGTTATGGGGAGTTCTAGTCCTGCCTTAGGCATGAAAGCTGGCTGGGTGACCTTGGGCCAGTCCCTGTTTCTCAGCCCAGCCCACCTCACAGAGGTGTATTTTTTTTGGGGGGGGGGGGTGGGGGAAACAGGAGGAGGAAGGGGTGCTAGATAATGTTCTCCATTATCTAACTAATCTATCTAAATAATTCTCCATGGAATTATTTGAGCATTAACAACTGAGCCAGAGGACAAAACCCGTTCCACCAATTTCTCACTGAGCGATGTAAACTCGGGGCGTACGTCGAGGCCCCCCCCCCCCCCTCTGCATCTGCAAAGGCCTCTCGACACTCGACTTCACGAGCTTGAGCCCCCATCTTGTCTCTCTGCCGGAGGAAAGCCAGGAATCCTTTCGGATCCCAGCCCACGGAGACCGAAGCGGCTTTGCTCCTTAGTCCTTCCCGCTAATATTGATGAGCAGAATTAACTGGAGAGTTTAGAAGGGGCTGTTTTACCCCAGTCTCCTGGAGTGCATAATGGGACTTGATGCCTCACCAGCTGGCTTGGAGCGGCTCTTGCTAATTTAATTTCTAGATTCGCGGTGATCTATCACCGGGGCGGCCTGGCGCTACAGAAATCGCTTCGGGGGTGCTGCAGAGTTCGCTTCAAGAGGAGCTGTGTCCGTGACTCCCATCCTGGGAATCGTCTTTCACAGGCCACGTTATTAGCCCTTGGCTTGCAACTGTTCCGTTTAGGGACTGAAGTTAAGGCGGCCCTGGGAAAAAAATATAGGGAATCGCGACCGGTTTTTTTCCGCACTCAGTTACAGAATGGTTGTGAAATCTCATGAAAGATGTCCAGGACTTTGCTGGAGAGGAATTCCCTAAATAAAAGGGGTTTTATTGGGATGATCCTGGGAAGCCTCGGTCAGAACAGCACCTCAAGAGATACAGGTAATCCTCAACTTACGACCACCATTGAGCCCCAAATGTAGGCGGTCAAGCGAGGAATTTGTCAAACGAGTTTCGTCCCAGTTTACAACTTTCCCCGCCGGGTTTGCAAAAACAAGCCTCCTCCTCCTCTCCTTACCACGCCAATCAGGTCCCCCCGGCCATATTCGCCTGTCAGGTGTTTCTTCCCGTCGTCCTGCCTGATGACCGAGCGGAGACGTCCATTCAGGACAATGTAGGTGCAGTCCGAATGATCCCCCTGCCTAGGAAGGAGAACGGGGTTAGAGGAAAGCAAGGTGGGTTGTGAGAAGGAAAGGATTGGCCACGGAGAAAGGAAGGTGTAGCTGCCAGGTCAGGAGGCTTCACCAAGTCCCAAGAAAGAAGGGAAGTGTGTGGGAAAAGTGCCCAAGAAAGTGAACCACAAAAGTGCGAAAATGTCCAGTTATGTGTGGGAAAGCAACCCTCTGAATTTTATTTGCTCTGTGTGCACTGGTCGTTACAACCATTGGTTTAGTGACTTTTCTAAGTCACTGAAAAAAAAATATATAGCAATAGCCCTTAAGACTTATATCCCGCTTCACGCTGCTCTACAGCCTTCTCTAAGCGGTTTATAGACTCAGCAAATTTGGCCCCGACAATCCAAGTCCCCCTTTCAGCGACCTCAATAGGCAGCGCCTCATTATGGCTTGTTCATTTGCCGGCCCCTATTGCGGTCGTTAATTCGAGGCCTATCCTTTCTCCTTTGGCCCTGGGTCCGATTCCCGAGCTCCTACCTGTAAACGGCGCGCCCAGCTTCTACCTCCATCCAGTCCAGGGCGAAGTCGATTTGCCTCACGAAGGACGACATGCGCTTCACCACCATGTGAGCCACTCCCAGGACCACTGTGGGCTGCTCACGCATGATCCTGGAAAGAGACACACACACGTAAGGGAAGGTTCACTATGGGGGTGGGGGGGGGTGAACCCCCCCCCCCAAAAGGGCTGGTTGGGTGCTAAGCGGTTAAAAATATGCTTCCCCGCAAGGCCTCCCACGCCCCTATGATATTGGTAGTCCTCGGCTTACAGCTATGGGTTTAGTTACCATTCAAAGCAACAGTGGCACTAAAAAAAGGACCCTTACAATCCTTCCTTGCACTTATGACCAACACAGCATCCCTGCAGATATGTGATCAAAATTCGGACACTTATTTAGCAACTGGCATGTATGTAATGTGTGTGTCTCTGTGTCTGTCTTTCTGTCTATCCTCCATCCATGTATCTATCTATATCTTGTATCTATCATTTACTATCTCTTATTCTCATTCTCTTTCTCATCTATCATCTCAATGGCATATATCTATGATCTGTCTGTCTATCTGTCTGCCTGTCGAAAGTTGGTGTTTTTATTTCTCTTTCTTGTGGGTTTTCAGCCTTTTTTCAATTTCATGGAGTATTGTACTTTGGTTTCATTCTCTCATATACGTGAGAATCTGTGACAATTGAGCCAGGACTAACTACCATCATTGTCTCCTGCGCAGGCTGGTATGTGCCAACCAAACCAGCTGTGCAGGGATGCCCCAGCCTTTGCCAACGGCCTGCCTCTACCGCCGCAGGATTAAGTATGGAACAGCTGCCAGATAATTACACCCTTTGACTTGACACCCAGCTGTGATGCGTTAAATACAGGGTCCCTGCCTTCTAGCTAAGGGCAGGGTAGGAGGGCTCTTGGATCCAGCTTTAATTAAACTATCATTGGGATGCGTGGAGAAGAAAGGAAGGCAGGGCAAAGAAGTCAACTCAGGACTTTGCTTGCTCCTTACTTAACAGGAGAGAGAGAGAGAGAGAGAGAGAGAGAGAGAGAGAGAGAGAGAGAAAGAGAGAGAGAGATGAGGGATGGATGGATAGATGGACAGGTAGGTAGGTAGATAGGTAGGCCGATAGGCAGGCAGGCAGGCAGATTCTCACATATATGAGAGAATGAAACCAAAGTACAATACTCCATAAAATTGAAAAAAGGCTGAAAACTCACAAGAAAGAGCTTTGCTGGCTGAGGAACTCTGGGAGTTGAAGTCAACAAGTTGCCAAGGTTGGAGATCTTTGGACTAGAAGATGATCTACAAGGTCCCTTCCAACTTTGTTAATCTAATCTAATCTAATCTAATCTAATCTAATCTAACCTAATCTAACCTAATCTAAAGAGGATGGCCTGTAGAAGGAAGAAGGAAAGGGACTCACTCATAAAACTGGGACTTGGAGATCGCCAAGAAGGTGCAATCGCGATTGGCCTTAATGGTGAAGATCAGCGGTTCTCCCGTGAGGACGGCGAGCTGCCCCACCAGCTCTCCTGGGTGGGTGACAAAGAGGCAGGTCTCTTCCTCCGAATCGATCTTCCGCTGGTAGACATGCAGGACCCCCGAGATCACGAACCGGATGCTGACATCCTACGAGAGAGCAAGTCGAACACGGCCGTCGTACGCAAGGAAGGCCGAACCTTCCCGTTTGGCGGCGTGGAAGGATGTGAACATTTCCCAGTTCCGTGTGTCAAAACAAGCTTAAGTTGTATAAGCTCTCATTAGTGCTCCCACCTCACCTGTGTGTTCGGCTGCTCACCTGGTCACCTTGCCGTGACACCATCGTCCCTGCGGTGACCTGATGGAGGGTCACTTTCCCATTTAAGAGAGAGAGATCCTAAGCGAGCGGACAAGAAAAAAAAGATAGAATAAGAAAAATGCTTCCCTCCTATGTTAGCGCTGCAAATGAAAATAGATTTCACGAACGTCCATGCAGAAGTCCCAAAGTTCTCTCTAACTGCCAACGTGCGTGCCAATGTGGAGTGAGATCACTTGCACAGAGGTGACCACTACTTGCTACTTGGAAAGTAGGAGAAACTGAAGAAGTCACTTTAAAAAAAAAAATGAAATTCTACAGCCGAAGGAAAGTGCTGATTAAAAGCAAAAGCCTTTAAAAAGTTGGCCAGTAAGATTTTCCCACCCTACTTAGATGTTCTACTTTGTACATTAAAACTCCTAAAAAAAAAAAAACAGTTGAAATGGGGAAGAAAATTTTTCTACAGCCATTTTTCTACTTCCCCTTGAAGTTCCCTCGTTGACCCTTCTGTTTCAGAGCTAAAGGGGCAAGAGGATGTGTAGCCCAGGGAAAGGGAGATTGCTTTAAAACTTTTTTTTAAAAAAAATGACTTTTAAAGCAGGCAAGGTTTCTTAAGCTAGAAAGTGGGCCATTTGCACTGCCGATGGTGCTCCCAAAGGCGGGATTCCCACCCAAATCCCCCCATTCTGCTAAGACCGCTCACATCCAGCTTCATCAAGGTCAGCAGATCTTTCTTGGCTGCTTCTAAGATGGTGTTGACCTGCTTGGTGGCACCGAATTCCTGGACAGGCGCGTCGTCCTGTGTGTAATGGAAGATGGCCGAGGGCATCTCGGTCACCGTCACGGTTTTCTTCGAGGTGGGCTAGGGGGAGCGGGGGGGGGAGTAGAAAAGACAAGGGGTCACTTTTCACACTGTGGATTAAGAACGTAAGTGCAAATCATCAGCTTACATTGAGGTATCTTTATTCCCTGACAAGTCTTTCGGCTTGTTAGAACAGAATAGGATGGAATAGAATTAGAATTAGAATAGAATCATGAAATAAAGAATAGAATAGAATACAGTAGAGTAGAGTAGAATAGGAACAGGAATAGGAAAGAAATTGAAATAGAATAGAATAGAATAGAATAGAATAGAATTGAAGAATAGAAGAAATTGGAATGGAATGGAATAGAATAGAATAGAATAGAATCAGGAAAGAATAGAATAGAATAGAATAGAATAGAATAGAATAGAATAGAATAGAATAGAATAGAATAGAATAGAATAGAATAGAATAGAATCAGGAAAGAATAGAATAGAATGGAATAGAATAGAATAGAATAGAATAGAACAGAACAGAACAGAACAGAACAGAACAGAACAGAATAGAATAATTCTGTACACTGCGCCACTCGACTTCAGTCACTAAACGAATGGTTGTGATTCAGGACTAGCCGTATCTTCTCTCTAGGCATCTAACCAGCACAAAATCTCCTCCTTTCTACTCTGAGTCCAGCCAGCAACTAGGTCGGCCACCAAGAAAATGTTCAACCCTTCTTTGCCTTCGGCCTCAGCCAAGAGAGAAGGAAATGAAACTTGCTTTAAGCGTCAGTAAACCAGGGGTGGAAGCAAGCCAATTAAATATGTTAGAGTCGAGACAGTCAACAGCCCTGCAGGGAGACAGATATTCCTATCGGTGAGGCCAAACATCGCCGAGGTCACACGGTTTTAGTTTTTTCCCACCACTGGCGTCAGCATCACACAGCACACAGCAAAAATGGATTTTTCAAACAAGAAAAAAAAAATGCGGTTAATGTGGTTACCTAACCTGACATCTCCAAATGGGGTAAATTAAAAAACGCCCCCATGCGTGGAAAGGAGAGAGGAAAAACAGCTCAGCACAGAGCCAGGGGTGCAGCCGAAAGATGGCAGGAAAATAATAGAAGAAAAAGGCCCAACGAGGCAACGTAAACGAGGCTTCCAAGGTTGGGATGCTACTGTACCGTGGAACGCTTGTGGGAAAAAGTCGGCAATGTGGCATTCAAATCAACAACCGACCAACCAACGAGCCGGTGTGGCATTTCAGGCTTTTAAAAGCCACGTTTGTGCTCAGTTGGAGGGGCGGAAGAGAAGATTTGGAGCTCGGGGTTGAACTGTGGGGCTCTTGGTGCTCTCTGAGCTGGGTTGGTTTCTTGCGGAATGTTTCGTGACCCAACTAGGTAACATCATCAGTGCTAGAAGGGAATGGAGGGAGGAGGAGGAAGAAGAGGAGGGTGGGGCCCTTGTGCTCTCTGAGCTTGGTTGTTTTCCTGCAGACCTTTCGTTACTCAACTAGGGAACGTCATCCGTGCTGGAAGGGAGTAGGGTTTGCGGAGAGGAGGAGGAGGAGGAGGAGGAGGAGGAGGAGGAGGAAAAAGACTGTGGGGCTCTTGGTGCTCTCTGAGCTTGGCTGTTTTCTCGCAGACGTCTCATGACCCAACCAGGTAGCATCATCAGTGCAAGGACCCGCAAAGTTCAACCCTGAGCTATGAACATTCTCTTCTACGGGTAGTTAAACGCAGAAGGAACCAGGGAGGCTCCGAAGAGGTACCTTGTACGCAGTTGTGTCAGAGGAAGAAGCCTCGATTTCAATCCGGTGTCTGTCGCTGAGAGCTTCCAAGTCTGGCTTAGCTCCACCTGAGTTACGTACGGATGAAGGACAGAGAAGGGCTTACTTCGCACTCTACGCTTCAGCCTTTCCATCCACCCTCTTTTAACCAAATAATAATAATAATTTAGGAAGTGACCCAGGAGAGCGTTTAAAGGCAGTTCTCGATGTATAGCCATTCATTGAGGGAGCATTTGAAAAAAGCCACTTTTGACCGTTTTCCACAGGGCTATTGCAGACTCCCTGCGGTCACGGGATCAAAATTCAGAGGCTTGGCAACTGGCATGTACTTATGATGGTTGCAGTGTCAACAGGCAGGGGGATCATGTGATGCTTTTGCAACTTTCTGCCAAGCCAGGTCAACGGGGAAGCCAGGTTCACCTAACAACCGTGTTACTAAAGGAACCACCACAGTGGTTCACTTAACAACGGTGGCAAGAGAAGGCCGTTAAACAGGGCAGAACTCACTTCACCACCAGCAAATTTGGCGGGCTCAGTAAGCCGAGAACTCCCTGCGCAGCTCAAGGTACCTCCCGGTTCTCTCTCGCTCACCTGCAGCATCGGTGTATCCAAAAGGGGTGTTCAGAGAGACGCTTCTCCGGAGCAGCGGCTCTGGGCCAGGAGGTTTCCCAGAATCTACAATTGGGAAGGTCTCCGTTGAGTTTCCCAGCGAAGGAGTCGGCTGGCAAAGGTCACTCACTCGCGTGAAAGACATTGCTCAGGAGGGCCAAGCCATATTGGGGTGGGAGAGAGAGAGAGGGAGGAAGGGAGGGAAAGGAAGGAAGGAAGGAAGGAAGGAAGG